CCCATAAAACTTTATTTACAAAAATAGATGGGGCCCTGCAATCCTTAGTTTGCTGACCGCCTGTAAAACAATATGCCAGGTAATTTCTGTCATCTCACCTTGAATAAGTGTGGGCCAATATTGAATCCAGGCTTCAGTTTACTAAACGAGCACATTCAGATCCAATCTCAGGTGCTCAACCTAACATTAAAATCCCAAATCCTGAGTGAGTGAAACTGTGTAAATAAATTTGGCCTTTGCTAGCCTTTATATTCTATGCTTTTTAAACAGATACCTCTAGAATCCACCCCAATACAGCACATGCTTCCCAGGTTCCCTCTTTCTTGGCTCATAAACTGGCCCCTATACACGGAGGGCAGGGAGAGACCAAAGAAAGAGGCAGACCACTCCAAATTGGTAAGTGGCAATTTTAATAAGAAAAGGAACTTACTTACAAGACTTGTCTTGGGTGGTCACAAGAGGAGTAGCTCTCTACACTCACCCACTAAGTCTTCAAAGTTGATACAGAGGCCTTAACTGGGTTCAGTCACATATAGCGTCCCGATGGTCTCAACAACCCCTCACTCTCTCAAGGCTGTGTCCTCGGAACAGCTCCCGCTGTGGGAATGGTTGGCAGAATTCACATTCCAAGGACAGGGGAGGGGGGAAGCCTCTGATTGCCTAGGTCCAGCTCGAGGGTCAACGTGTGGTCATGTCCCCTCGATGACCTCCTCCAACACTCTGATACAAATTGGCAAGGTCTTATTGCTCCTTTGATGGATAAGCCAGTGTTCTGCCCCCTGTCCAGCCAATAAGGGGGTGCATTGTGTGTAGAGGATTTTACCAACGAAATGTCTTCTGCTTTTTACTATCACCATGTGCTGGCAGTTGTAAACAAAGTCAGTGATAAACCACTCTGCTCTGCAGGGGGCGCTCCCTCACCTACCTTCTCTTTCTTAGAATGCTGCTGTTAGGGTATTTCCTCCAAGAACTGAACTGGCAATTCTCTCCATGGGCCATGAGGAGCTTAACTCTTTACAGGCCTGGAGATAATGAGGAGAAATGGGAGTTCTTCTTCCAGATATTAGGCCTTTTGTTGTGAAGTAACTGACCCAGGAAAAATCTCTGAAAGGCTTTTCTGTGAGGGAAGCTAGCTTCCTCAGACGGGACAAAGACCTGCTTCCATCAGCAAGGGAGGTTCAGAGAAACTGGGGGTTCATCTCTGTCGCTCACTCACTAAATGTCCTGATCTTCCTTTTCAAACAGGGCCCTAACTTTAGAATAAGAGACTGGGCAAGGTTGTGATTTTCACCGTAACTCTACAACCTGCACAGTTAGAGTTGGGGCCTGGAACTCAGCCCTATCAGCCCTGCAGCTGCACAAGATAAGGGATTCTTTTGATGCCGCCATAGAAGCCTTCTGGTTCTTTGTCAGTCCCTTATATCGAGAATTCAAGGCCTTAAGCTTATTTTTTTCCTTTGACAAGATCTATAACGCAGTTGGAAAGAGCCATGCACTCCACAATCTTTTGGAATCCCCATTGTTGCCATCAGGAGTCACTTGACGACCCAAAGTTTTGTCCTTGACTGGCATTCCATCCCATGCCTCCACCAGTGTTAATTTGAATAATCTGTTTGCCATTGCATGCGAAAGACTATCAAGGATGGACATCATTCACGAGGTCATCAAATATGTGTTTAACCTGGTCCAGAATTCCATCTTGTTTCCAGGAGCCACTCCTGGTGCCAGCTAGAAAGGGCTAACAGGAAACAGCATCTAACCCAGATGGTTCAAAAGACTTTAATGAAGGGACTAGACAGAGACGTATGGGCAGGGGTAAGGGCACCAACAAGAGATGCTGAAGCATCCAGAGACTAGCAACAGGGGAAACCATTATCACTCCTGGGTCTGAAGGGCCAAGGAGAGAAAACAGTATTATGGCTGCTTAGAGAGGATTGGAGGATCATAGGAGGAGCCTCTCCCTCAGAAGCTACAGGAGTAGAAGGATATAGCCCCTGCAGGATAATATGGCTCAGAGCTGAGAGGGAGCAAAAGGAAGCTTCTGAACCTGCTTTCTTCTAGGCTCAGCCTCCTGATGCCTCCTATTGGTGGAACCCAACCAGAGCGAGCTCACAAGGGAGCCCGGGGAGCGGTCTGTAGGAATTAGCTCCAGCTATCACAACAGAGGGGAGAGAATGGATCTGATGGTATGGGGGGAGCTGTGGGAGAAGGGAGAACAACCAGCACAGAGGTTTCCATTTCCAAATCTTTATTTTCAATAAAATGGAAAAATGACCTAACTGACATGAGAAGGTGAGGTAACAGATCATTAAATATAAGTCTAATTATAGTTAATCATATATATATAATCATAGTTAAATCATATTTTATATATATATATAAATGATTTTTGGCCTGTATCTCAAAAGGACTGTGAGAAATTAAATGATGTTGCTGTAATAATGTCCCATCTTATTATGTGAAAAAGGTTTTCCAGAGCTTACATTTATTAAAACCAAAAACAGGAATAGACTTGATAATGAATCCTGGCTAATTTTAGCAATAAATAATATTCATTCATAAATACATGAACTAATTGAAAAAAGTGCCCTTCCATCTGAAGAGATGCATTTCCAATAAAATTTTACTTATATCTACTATTTTACCAAATTCTGTAATTATTTATTTTTTGATCAATTGTGTCATAAAATTGTAATAACTTGATCCTGAAGAAATATTTAAGAGTTTTAAAACTTTAAATACTTAAAATTTTAAAATATTTCATTTAAATCTTTTAAAAATATTTAAAAATATTTCATAGGACTTTTAAAACACAGGAGTTTTAGAGTCACAGAATTGAAAAATATTTTAAAATTCAACATGTGTACATGTTGAAGTATGACAGGTGATGAAAAAATGACTTTCAAGGATAAAAATACTTTAGGATAAAACTCTGTGGGATAAGTGAAATGGAAGTAAGTTCGGAAAAAGAAACCACAGAAAATTTCCGACTGTTCACAAAGAGTTTATGTATTTAAAAAAAAAGCTTGATGATAGTCATCATATCACTATGGTATTTAAATTCCTTTTTAAACATTTAAAAGAGAGATATAACAACTTCAAAATGTGAATATTAACAACATACCAGAAATCTAATCCTTTAAGGTCAAGATAAAAATTTTAGATGTCAACACAAAAATGTGTGAAAGCATACGGATGTATGGTTTTTCAAAATACTTTTAGGGAATATCTGAGCAAAAGGTTGAAGAACAAAGAAGAGGTAGTTATACAGTTTTAGAGACTTAATCTCTAAAATATTGTGCCCTGCTCAACCTCTGTAATTTTTTTCTCTTTTTCACAGATTCTCAAAATTCAGAGGGTCTGAGGTCAATTTAGAACTAAAAGAGGAGTCCTGCAGATATCCTGGAGGGTTGGTGCCAAGGGTTACTGCTATGTAGCTACATCAGGCATTTAAAAATCCAATGTTTACTGTTATGAAAACCTATTTGGAACACGATTTTGTGGGAAACGTATTTAAAATTCTAAACAAGAGATTTAAAAATGCACCTTTGAGGGCCGGCCCCCTGGCTTAGCGGTTAAGTGCGCGTGCTCTGCTACTGACAGCCCGGGTTCGGATCCCGGGCGCGCACCGACGCACTGCTTCTCTAGCCATGCTGAGGCTGCGTCCCACATACAGTAACTAGAAGGATGTGCAACTATGACATACAACTGTCTACTGGGGCTTTGGGGGAAAAAAAGTAGGAGGATTGGCAATAGATGTTAGCTCAGAGCCAGTCTTCCTCAGCAAAAAGAGGAGGATTGGCATGGATGTTAGCTCAGGGCTGATCTTCCTCACACACAAAAAAATAAAAATAAATAAAAAATAAAAATGAATCTTTGAAACACACCTATAAGCAGAGAACTGGAGTTAAAATGACAATTTCTGCCAAATTAAATATGAAATAGCAGTGTTTTGTTACCTTCGCTATAGATGTCAAAAGATTTGGCATTTTCAATGAGATATTTCATAATTACGTAATGTCATTTATCATAGACGCTCCAAAATGCAATCTGGAATGATTTCTCTGGCCGAATTGCTGCCTTTTTTCTTTTTTGACACTTTATATTATTAAACTATATAATCTATCATTTCTCTTAGGACCCTTTCACTGAATGGAGCACCAGTAAGTAGCCCGCCTTGTCTTACATTATTCATGTCAAAACTTCTGAGTCACGTGCAATGGAAGAGAGATTCTAGGGTATTTTTATGCACAAAACAACTAATGCTAACAGGAGCTGTGCTAAGTACTTTTCATAAAATATCTAATTTAATCCTACAGGCAACTCTGTGTGGTATTATTTCCCCCGTTTTACATAGAAGGAAATGGAAGTTTAGAAAATTCAGTTTACTGAATCTCTAGCAGAGCCAAGAAATCATATCCACCACTGAGCAGCTTGCCGCCTTCACTCACCAGACACGGTCAAGGAATCACATTCACCACCTCTTTTGCGAAACAAGGACCACCTAAGGGCGCTTGACTCAGACCCTCGCCGTCCAGGTGAGCTCTGGTCAACGGTTCTCACTGCGTTGACCGGCTTTGTTAAAACGCAGATTGCTGCCCCCCCGCTCCCCCCAGAGTGTCTGACTCCGTAGGTCTGGGGTGGGATGGAGAATCTTCATTTCTAGCAAGCTCCCTGGTGATGCTGCTGCTGGTCCTGGGACCACACTTTGAGATCACTAGTTTAGAGGTTTGGATCTTAAGTCCACCGGAAAAGTGTTGGTCGGGGCAGAGCGATGACAGCGCCTAAAGTTTCTAGAAGCCTGGGCCCTGCTCCCCCAGGCACCTCAGTCCAGAGTCGCGGACGTGTCCTGCAGTCGTGTCCACCGCGACCCCGCCCCCCGGGTGGCGGCGCTCCTCCGCGCGCCATCGCTCTCCCCGCCCTCGCGCCGCGGCGTGGCCACGCCCCCAGCGGCCATTGGCTCGCAGGGCCGGGCCATCGCCCCCCGCCCCTTCCCCGGGGCCCGCCAGGCTGAGGCGCTGCTGCCCGAGCGCGGATCCGAGCCGCGGCTCCGGGCGGAAGGGCCATGCTGGACTTCGCGATCTTCGCGGTGACCTTCTTGCTGGCGCTGGTGGGAGCCGTGCTCTACCTCTACCCGGTAAGCGCGCACTCGGCCCTCAGGGGCGCCGGTGCCGCCCCAGCCCCCGTCCTCCCGCCGCAGCCCCCGCCCCGCGCGGGCACGGCTCCCGGAGCACGTGAC